AAAAAAAAAAAAAACAAGATTAATAATTAAGTAAAAACTCACTTTAAAAGTCGAAACCTAATAGTCACTGAAATGCTATCCCTCCGATCTCGAAGCACTATCAATCGGTTCGACGGATAGTTGGTCGTTAATCGTCGAATAACTCACCGGCGTCCGGCTGCGAGGCCCTATGTCCTGAACCGTTGTTATGGATCTGGACCATCTCCTTTGCTGCCGCTGCCGCCGTATAACGCTGTCGGGTCTCCCTCTTTCTCTCTGTTGCCGGCTCGCCACCCCAATGTATCTCCCTATATCTCTCTGTCCTGGGGTCTTTCCACTGCATAGTATGTGTCTTTCCACCGCCAGGTCTTCCATCATATTAATATTTTAGTAATTTAAAATACCACTATATGCTCATTTAGAATTATTTAGTACACACAATGATATGATAATATCCATAAAATTGATTTACAATATCAACACCCGTCTGCGAAAGTTGACTCTTGATTGCTGCCAAAGCAGCTGCATATTCTTCATCAACCTATTCAATCACAAACATAGCATATTAGGAGCTCATAAAAAAACAATAGCAACTACTAACATTAAGAAGTAGACTCATGGGCAGAAAACTAATGTGAGCAAAATTTTAATATTGAAAGAAAGAAATCAAGGACCTTGAGGGCTTGAACATCCATTATCTGGTATGTATTTTCTCTATGATACTCGGCAATGCTTGCTTCAATAGCAGGAATATCTACTCAATCGACTAAATTAACTACTGCAAGCAAACAATTATTCTTCTCCAACTTAAAAGACGATGCAGGAGTGTACGTTCAAAACACAAGCAGTATACTTACCCGTGTCCTCAACTTCCTCCAACGTAGTCATTGTATTCCCTTAAAGACATGAAATCCTCCTCTTTTTTTGTTATAACTGCAAATTTGACGATAAAGTTTTAAGTAGCTTCAAGAAACTTGATAATGCAAGATAAGTTGAGCAAATAAATCCATGAAGTAAATTTTTTGCATGCCCTAAGATCCAGCTTAAGCCTGACCATAGCTGAGAACCGAGTCAAGCAACTCAACACATCAGTGTTGAAAGGTTTATCAGGAGTTGCTCCCTCAATTTCCTTGTGCAACAACAACAACTATTCACCTAATTATGAACTACTGAAAAAAGGCTGGAGAAGTTTGAACATTATGAGTGTTACTTTGAACTGATAACCAGGTCACTTTCTTAGAAAATCTGCTAATGCAGAAAATTTATGTTAAAAAATGGCAACATCCAAAGCATATACAATTTGGCAGTAGAAAAGGAAAGAAAAACTTCCAGTACTGTGACTGATTTCATGAAACGATTTTACAATCAAATAAGCTATAAGCTCAGAAATTACTGATAAGCTATAATAAGCTAGCTTATCAGCTTGTTTTACCAAACATAGCCTTAATCGGAAGCCACTCCATGATGAAATTACCAAAATCAACTCCGAAGGGATTGGGAAAATTTTACAGAAAAGACTGGACTGCGTAGCAGGTTCTTCAAGGGCAGTATGATAATTTCACATAAATGTATACGTCAAGTGAAAATGCATGGTCAGCAACATCATAAATGCAGGGGTAGAACTGTAAAAAAAGAGCCATTGCAAGGGTATATTTGTCATCTAAAAATTGCCATTTTTGCTTATATGGAAGGGAGAGATATACTAGATTTGTTTCTAAATTCGTAGTTTACTATCCGTTTGCTATTTTGATTAAAAAGTTAGTAAATTTTAGTTGTTTAATAATTTTTTCTATAAATAGAAAATTGCCATGCTAACCATGTTATATTAGATATAGAAGGACAAAGTTGTTTGTTTCTTCAATTGTTGATTATGTTAAGTCAAAAATGGCTGCCCATTTCTTCAGCAACAAAAGAATAGTCAAAAAGGGGCTGCAGCCCATCTCATCTGATAGCAGCATTTTGTGGAAAATAGGCAGCTTCCTTATGTTGAATAATCAGTATATTTGATGCGTACTCTTCCTCTATAAATAGAGGAGCAAATCAGATGAACAACACACCATCACAACAGAAATACAACAATTACAGAGAGAAAGAGAGAAAAAAAAGGGAGCAGTTTTAGCTTCTGTGTGTATTTGAGTTGTGAGTTGTGAGTGGTACACGAGTG